GCACGAATGGCTCGTGACTGTGACACAGAGACATGTCAGGTGACAGACGCTATGATTGTGTCAGAATGTCATTAGTTTGACAGGCGAATGTCAGTGATCTATCACCAGGAAAATCACTCTAAGTTCAAACGTTCTCCTTTATTCCAGTGATGTTTCAGCTGTTTTTGTGCGGTTGGTTTGTTTTCCGCTTGGCGCTGTCGCACTCGTCGTGTGACCTGTTGCATTGCACCTGTATCCATATTATATTCCGCATGCTCATTTTTGGTTTTGTTCGAAAGTGGCTGGTTGGATGGAATACTACCAAAATGTAAAAAAAAAAAAATCACTCCAGTCTCAAATGTCAAGACACAGAAAGCATGAATCATGAACATAAATCATAACATGTTATCTATGGTCAAGAAAAACTTCAAGGTCAATCACACCTTATATTCTATTCTTATCGACATGATCGGCTACAGCAAATCAAAATCATTTATTTGGACCAGCAGTGTGCAACACCGCTCAACCTTGACCTAAAGTCTGCCGGGTCACTGTAAAACTCCTCAACTCACAGAAATCCATTCGTCATCTGCAATCTGCATCACTGTGCCGTTATAAAGGCCGTATGGCACTGACACACTCTTCACTCGATCATCGCCTGTAAAAATCCATGGAGCAGACGGACCGAACCGAGAGCAGCCCGATCCGTTCCTATAAGGTCGCATTGGCAGACATAAGGCCGCCTTACGGACCGGATAGTCGAGACTAATCGTCCGTGGTATAAGCCAAATCTGCTCGTTGGAGTGACAACCGGCCACGAGAGGTGACGTAACACAATGACAGTCGCCGATCTTAGCCCTCGTCAGGCCAGGGTCTTTTCATTCATTTTATGCTTCATCAAATCAAAAGCATAGAACCTTGAGCCGTTAAGTTACATTCAGAACCTCTGGCTTTGTTGCCTTTTCCGCCCTCGACCTTTGGTCTCGTGCGGCAAACTAAACAAATCCATCGGTCCTGAGTGAAACATTTTACCGACCCCATATCAGTCGGGGAAACTGTGGTCAAATCTTCCATTTTTAGAAAGCCTTCCATTTTTGGAAGGATTTTCTATATATGGGTACGCACCTTCCAAAAATGGGTACGCTGACGACGTCATCGTACCCAAATATAGAAAATGTTGCGCATATGTTGGAACTTACCGATTTCCGCCGAACATGAGGCAAATGCGACTATCGCCCCTGGTCGCTTTCTATTCGCCATAGTGAAGTGTCCATAATCTAGCGTGGATGCCTAAATCCTAGCGTGGATGTATTTTAGGTAATTTTTCAAAGTAATTAGTCGTGGAAAATTGACCAAAATTTACCGACAAACGATGGTTTTATAAGACTTTATCAAACATTTTGTAAGCAAAAAGCATCAAAAACGAAAAGTAAATATCCTTAAAAGTACTTTAGTGACGGGCCATGCTTGTTCGATACCGCCGACTTTATTTACAGTGCGGAATTGTCTGGACAGAGTGCGGCGGTTTCGGGAGTGTAGTGGCGAGTAAAACTTGTATTTGTTGCCGTTTTCTGCATTTATTAGCATATTGTGTGGTTGATTTCAATTTTTTAAGGCTTTTGCCAAACATTTGGGTGGAGGTCTCGTCATTTTTCAATGTTTTTTTTCCGGAATATGGGACGAATTAAATAGGCGTTGCTGCGCCGTTTTTCGTGTTACTTTCTATCGAAGGAGCATGAATCTTCAATTTATATGAGGAATAGTAAGTTTAATTTAAACCATTTTTTGTCAGGGCTATAGCTGTGTTCCTCCTGGTTGGTTATTGACCAGCTGTTTTCTCTTCTGAATTTCTATGTGTCCTCTAGAAGTAGAAAAAGAGAGCAGTGCGCCAGGACACCATGCTATTATATCACTATGTACATTGACATAGCATGCCTGTATTACCAACACTAGCACTGCTGCTTCTCCTTATATCAATGATCATAAATGGCAAAATCAACTATTAATGTTACACATTTAAAAAGGCTGTAACTTAAATCAAAGAATGTGAATCACAGTTGGGAACACTGAGATTAGACCTTCCAATTTTGGAAGCCTTCCATTTTTGGAAAATGCATACCCATTTATGGAAGGTCCTTCCAAAAATGGAAGGCTTCCAAAAATAGAAGATTTGACCACAGTTTCCCCCACTGATATGATAATTGTACTCGCATAAAAATTTCGATGGCATTTGGCAACGAAGTACCAACGCATAAGACAGGGAGGGTATCATGCTTACCGCGCTTATGGTAGCCATGCATCCGCGACAGCTCGGAGAAAAACTGCATCTCTCCAATCTGAAATGAGACGAGAGAACCACATCATTTGCCGGTGTCACATACCACCTAGTACTCGCAAGATGGGATTTTATTGCAATGACTATTGTTACACCAAACAAACAATGGCTATGCTTGCTGTTTGCGAACGTGACAGTTCAGATATAGCCACAGGCCTTGTGTTGTTGGCCGTGAAAGCACCTAACAGGCTACAGCACAGATCTGGTGCTTTTGACCGTGACACACTGGGCCGGGGGCCCGGAAAAGTGCTAGAAATTATTTGTGATTGAGTTGTTGATCTCAGCGACAAGCAAACATGCTAAAAACGAAGTGGGGCTGCTTAACCCTCGCCGGACCTGTTGTCGGACCCCCACCCCCTCGGCCGGCCGAGGGGGGAGGGTTGGTACGACCCCTTTTCGCCGTTTCGCCCCTAATGGAGCTAGAGCCTCGCGGAAAAAACAAGCGTGTGCGCCGTTTCAAGACGGAACGATTGATACCCGATTTCAAGGTCCCATGTCAACCGATAACCTCTGAGGTGAGGTCAAAAGCCCAAGGTAGGGTTTGGTTTTTGGTAAATAATTTCGCATAAAATGGTCGCAGAGCAGCGATTTTGGCACCATCGTGTTTGCCTGGCTCAGGCGCGTCGAATGGTATACTTCTTGTTCGGGTGAGGTCAACTTAAGGTGTTGACCTCAGGTCAAGGTCAGGTCAGCATCCCCAGGTCACGAAGTTGGTCGAAAGAGGTCATGTCGCATATCATTCGATTTGGGAGGTCTTCCCGAGTCCATTGGTGGCTTTCCCGAGTCGCTGGCTCAATTTGATCATGAGTTATTGACAAGAAACTCCTATGACCGTAGTGACGTCATAAATGACGTCACGGAAGGTCAAAAATGCAAAAGTAAAGCATCGGATCTTGCAAGGAGTGCATGAAATCACGATTCCGTGTGCTTGAGATAGTTTGAGATCATTCCATGCGCAAAAACAACAGTTTCCTTATCTCCCCATTTACTTTTAATGGTGATGTCACGTGACCTCGAAGAGTAGCAGGCATTAGCAAAAATTGCGAGTAGGGCATGACAGAAAGATGATTAGTGGTTTGTATGGCACGGTCATTTTTAGCGGCTCGAAATAACATTTCTCAAAAAGTCTAACTTAACAGCAAGTTGTTGTTGATTATCACTTACTTGTGTTTGGGGGTTAATAATGACTGAATTTTTTAGTTTGGCCCAAAAATTTTGCAGCATTGTGTGCGTTGATCAATTCTGAGCTCAGGGACATATATTTTATTCAGATTATAAGCCTTAGTTTTTCACAACTTCCAGCGCTATAAAGAGCGCCGGGCATTCAGTAGAGCGGCGAGGTGACAATTGCCCCTACATCATGTGGTTTACTGGCGCATATCTCGAAAAGTAGCAGGGAAAAGCAGCAAAGTACCTATATGGAACGAAAGATGAGTAATCA